ATATATATTCGAGGTGGAGATGAGAAATATTTTGTTCCACCACAAAAAATTATTTAATTATTGTCTTTTAATTTTTTTTCACGATATACCTAAACAATCAAATGGTCATTGTACTAGAAGTATTTAAACATTTTTTTCCTCGAGATAGGTAATTAAAGTACTCGCCCAATTTTACTTATCAGTTTATATACGGTCAAAATTGGGCTTGCCCTTATTGTATTATTAATCAAGATCGGGGCGTGACAGCCCAAGGTTCGACCCCATGTCATACCGGACCGTGACACGAAGTTAGATTGCCAAGCTCGTGACACAGGGATCGATCGATATCGAGATAGCCAATATCGAGACCGAGCGGGATAGAGATCGAGCAAAATCGAGAGAAGCCTACCGAGCAAAATAACGGAAAGCCAAGATATCCGCGATCGGGCGAGGATTACGGCAAAAATCTCGGCGCGTATCAAGAAGAGGCCGATTATTCAGCTAATCATGGGATTTCTTATTGTATTTAGGATTGTATTAATGGTACGACTCCCGTACTATATAAAGGGGATCTGATCATTTGTAAAACACATCATATTCATGCTACATAAAGCAATATACTATCTTTCTTTTAAGCTCTCAATACTTTGTCACTTTGTTCTTATTTACCAGTGGAATATTCGTTTGATTCGAAGGCGACCTAGCTCGAGGATCAAAGTTATACATTTCCTTTAATTTGCTTTAATTTTATTTGCAGCTATTTTCAATATCAATATTACATTCTTTCTCAGTTTGTGCCAAGCAAAATCACATATCCTTAAAATCACAATATAAATTCAATTGTTATCCGTTTTTAGGGTAAACGGAGTTATCCGTCGCTTGCCTTTTCTTCCATTACTTTAAAGTTTAATAAAAAACCTAGAAGAAAAACTATTACCTACCAATTCAATAAGTAAATAGAGTAGAAGAGAAGGCCGCAAAAAAACAAAGTTGACTGAGACTGGCAACTGCAAGAGAAGAGAAAGCAGAAGTTACGATGTCAAAGCCTACGAATTAGAGGGGTATAGTATAATTAGAAGAGGGTCTAAAGAATGACATTTTTTATTATTGTTTATAAAAATTTACTTAAGTATGGATCTGTCTTAGCATTTATTTGCTTTGTCACAAAGTTTTCAAAATTGAACTGTATTTGTACGTGTACTTGTACGTGCATTACTAAAGAAAGAAAAGATCAACTTACTTATCTAAAAGTATGCAAGTAAAGCACTAGATATAGTTACAATAATATATTTTAATATGATGAAAATCATTTAATATTTACTTGTCCTTGGCTAAAAGTATGCAAGTAAAGCACTAGATATAGTTACAATAATATATTTTAATATGATGAAAATCATTTAATATTTACTTGTCCTTGGCTAAAAGTATGCAAGTAGAGCACTAGGTAGATTTTGAAGAAATGATCACTATCTAACTCAAAAAGAGTTTGTGACAAAATTCGCAAAATGACTTTATTATTATGACCAAAATAACTATTTTCATGAAAACATCTTTCAACACTTCCAAAGAAAGTATTGAGGCAGTCTCGGTAAAAATAGTCAGACACATGAGTACGCGGGTAAAACAGACAAAATAATTACTCTATTTTTTTTTTACGAAAATAGCCCTTCGATATTTCAAAAAAGATTTTAAGATTGACTCAACAACAAGTCCGGAAATAGGGGTAACACTGCAAAAGGCGGACAATCATAAACGAAATGACCATCTTTACGAAAATAGCCCTTCAACACCCAAGAGTAAGGTTTTAAGTCTATCTCGATAAAAACGATCGAACATAGTGTAAAAAGGTAAAAAGTAGACAAATATAAAAAAAATAGTTATTTTTAACGAAAATAGCCTTCGGCACTTCCAAGGTCGCTCAGAAGTGAGGGAAGACATCTTCACCATTTGAAGAAACCGCTAGAAAATGACTTTTTCGCGGACAATAATTTTCTAAAAAATGACTTTTGTCATACCAAACCAGCTAGAATCGACATATATAGAGAACACTAGATAATAATTATGTGACCAATAATAGTTGTGATGGATTAATAAGTAAGTATTTGTCACGAGCCGGATTTTTCACCATCGGGATCGTGATGGCGCCTAACTTTTAGAATGTTAGGCGAGCTAACAGATAAAGATCTAACATGCTAATCACCATTCAAAACGGTAAATAACAATAATTTAAACCAAAACAAAGTAGGAAGTGCAGAAGTTTATAATAATTCAAACACTAATATATGACTACCCAAACATCTGATGTCACAATCCACGAACTTCTAAGAGTCACTACAAATACTGGTTTAAAGGAAATACATCTGTTCTGAAAATAAAAGAAAACAAGGTAACTAGGATCAATGGAAGGGAACTCCAGGGTCTGCGAATGCCGGTAGATCTACCTTAGGTCTCCTGTGGACTGAAGGCAACAACCCAACTCTGATCAGTGCGGTCCAGTACCGAGATCTGCACAGAAAGTGCAGAGTGCAGTATCAGTACAACTGACCCCACGTACTGGTAAGTGCCGAGCCTAACCTCAGCAAAGTAGTGACGAGGCTAGGACGCGATAACAACATAAACTTGTGCAGTTAAATCATATACGAGAAAATAACAACAATTGGAAATTTACAGATAATGACGGGAAGGGGGAGAAACATGCTAGGGAAAATATCAAATCATGTAACAGTACAGTAAAGAAACGCAGTAAATAACATGTTTTGCACCAACGAAAGTAATAACATGGCAAACAAGTGCACGACATCACCCTTCGTGTTTTTACTCTCGTCCTTACCATAAGAAACAATAGAAACGGCACGACATCACCCTTCGTGCATTAACTCTCTCATAACATGGCATGGCATCACCCTTCGTGCATTATCAATATCAGAATATGGCACGGCATCACCCTTCGTGCATTATCACCCACTCACAATACATTGCACGGCATCACCCTTCGTGTTTTACACTCTTCCTCACCCAAACAACAGAACAATTACAACCCGGCAAGGGAATCATCAAAAACCAACATCGTTTCAATATTTAACTTCACAATATAAATCTCAACTTGAGTCAATATTCAACCAATATCCAAATTCCAGGAAAAACATGATAAGATCTGTCTAACATGAAGAATAACCAGTTTAAGCATGAACAGTACGGATAAAGAATACAAAGTCACAAGTATAAGACTCACTCGCAGGCTATGACTCGACGACAATGTATAGCTACTCATCACCTCACCTCTACGTCATATTCAACAACCATACACATAGCAAATAAGGCAACAACACCTAATCCCTCAAGCTAAGGTTAGCCACAACACTTACCTCAATTCAACGGCCGAACTCAAGCCTCAAACACCGCTTTTCCCTTAGTTTTCACTTCCAATCCAATCGTATCTAATCATATTTAACTTAATAATATCAATTATCGCTAAAGAAATCAATTCCAATGCAAAATTGCAAGTTTCCCAATATTTTTCCCAAAAAAGCAAAAATCGACCCCGGGCCCGCTTGGTCAAAACTTGAGATTCAGACCAAAACCCATCACTCATTCACCCCGAGCCCAAATATGTAATTAGTTTCGGAATCCGACCCCAAATCGAGGCCTAAATTCCAATTATACAAAAAAATTTAATTCTACCCAAACCCCCAATTTTCCGTTTTTTATTCTGTTTTTAAAACACTGGACAGGCGAGAGACCTGTCGCGATCGCGATGCACTGCGGCCAGAATGGCCTTCGCGTTCGCGAAGAGCTATTCACGTTCGCGATGGTCTGTCCCCCTTGACCATCGCGTTCGCGAGCCTTAGACCACGTCCGCGAAGAACAACTCAAAGATTTCCCCATCCCACCTCCAATACACTACCCGTTCGAGTAAGGCCAGTCGCGTTTGCGTAGAAGAAATCCCTCCCCAGCCCAGCTTGCACTTCGCGTTCGCGAAGCAACTCTCGCGAACGCGAAGCACAAAGTATCAACATACCAGAAACAGCAAACACAACAGATTTTCTAAGTGTAAATCACCTCGTACCCTATCCGAAACTCACCCGAGCCCTCGGGGCTCCAAACCAAACTTACACACAAGTGTAAAAACATCATACAGACTTGCTCGCGCGATCAAATCGTCAAAATAGCACCTAGAACTACGAATTTAATACCAAATTGCATGAAATTTTCAAGAAAGTTCAAAAGTTCTATTTTCTCAACCAAAGGGCCGAATCACGTCAAATCAGTCTCATTTCTTACCAAATTTTACAGATAAGGTATAAATATCATAATGGACCTGTACCGGGATCCGGAACCATAATACGAATCTGATATCAACAATTTCAATTATTAAACAAATCCTTAAAATCATTATATTTCCATTTTAACAGTTTTCATCAAAAATTTATTACTCGGGCTAGGGACCTCGGAATTCGATTCCAGACATATGTCCAAATCCCATATTTTATTACGGACCCTCCGAGACAGTCAGAACACTCATTCGGGTCCGTTTACTCATAATGTTGACCGGAGTCAACTAAAATCACTTTTAAAGGCAAAACTTAATATTTTCTCAAATTTTCACATAAAGGTTTTCCGGAATAGCGCCCGGACTGCGCACGCAAATTGAGAAGAAAAAAATAAGGTTTTGAAGGCCTCGGAACCCTGAATTGGGTTCTAAAACACGAGATGACTTTTCGGGTCATCGCGGTATTGCTTCTATTCTTAACCAGAGGTTTCGAGTTCGAGGACTGAGTATGAAATCGTCTTTTTCGGAGTATTTTACCTCCAATGTTGAATTTTTTTATCTAAATCTAAATTTAATCAGACCCCCGGGAACCGATAGACAACCAAAAAATATGACAAGAGGTTTAGGTGATGTTGTTAATTGCTCATAGTACAAAATTGGTTCACCGACATTGTACTTATACGTGTATGATTTACAGCGGTTGGCTATATATTTATACAACAAACTCATCATATTCATTACTAACTTTCTCTTGATTTTACATCTTTCTTCTTCACTTCTCTGAACACTTGTCAGCAAAATTCTTCAGATCAATAAATAAGAACAAAAAATGGTACATTCAAAGAAGTTCAGAGGTGTCAGGCAACGCCATTGGGGTTCTTGGGTTTCTGAAATTCGTCACCCCTTGTTGTAAGCTCTTCCTCTATATATTAACAGAAGCTAATATAGAATTTAAGTTCTATGGGTTCCAATATTTAAAATTAAGGGTTCATATCTACTATTTATAACAATTTCAATAATTTTTTACACATAAATTTCTGTTCTGCATCGAAAATATTGGGTTCAGTTGAACTCTGTAGTTCTATGGTATATCCGCCCCTGTATATGTATGTATATTTACTACATTCTTCATATATAACATCGGCCGAAATAGTATCTCTACCTACTCAAGGTAGAGGTAAGGCACACATTATCCTCTCAGACCCCACTTGTGGGATTACACCGAATGTGTTGTTTTTGTTATGTTCTTCGTATATAACATCTCTCTTTCAATTTCTTTCTCTTATCTAATTTTTTTTTTTTCATTTTTATCTCTTGTCTAACCTAATTTAGCAATTTGCAATGTTGGTCTTGGGAATGGATTGGAGATTAGTCATTCATGTATTGACTAAAAAAGTAGCTATACTATGATAGAAAACTATGTTATCACTTTAAAGAAGTGATTCCATCAATCCAACCCTCGAGCTATCCATTCTAACATGTCTTTGCCTAGCAAAATATACGTCTAGTTCTCCATCCGCTTGCCTATCACAATAGATGGAGTGTCTCCGATTTCAAAGAAAAAGCTAAGGTGATGTATGTGTCCAAAGACGGACCTAAAATGTATATAAATATGAACTTGAATTATAAATATTATTATTCAAATTTTTTTACACTATCAGTGTAATTTGGTTATAGCAACCAAATTATTAGTGCAGTTATTATTCTTTTTTTCATGATCTTGTTATTATAGTTCAACTTAACCTGATAGTCTAAATATTTTGTAAACTCTCAGGGTACAAACTTAAACTCTTTAAATACTTAGTATTGAACCCATATTTCAACTTCAAAGAATTCTGAACGTGAATCCATGAAATTTAAATTTTGAATTTGTGTCACAGGAAAAGAAGGGTATGGCTTGGCACATATGATACAGCAGAAGAAGCAGCAAGAGCATATGATCAAGCAGCAATATTAATGAGTGGCCGCAATGCAAAAACCAACTTTCCAATCACTCAAGATTCAGATAATAAAGAATTAAAGGCTAAAGATCAAGAATTTTCATCAATTCCCTCTCCAAAAGCCTTATCTGAAATACTCCATGCCAAGCTTCGCAAATGTAGCAAGGTGTCATTCTCCATCCCTTTTTTTTCATAAGAAAAATACCCAAAGGAAAAAAAAAACTGAAATTAGCTATAAATTTCGTCATTAATATGTCACTAAAATAGTTCGTAGCTAACAAAGTCTTTGTATAATCTGTCGTTAATCCATCACTAAATAGGATTGTTTAGCTACAGAATTTATTCGTCATTATTCTTATTTTCTTAATAGCTATGTATTATACTTCCTCGGTTTCATTTTATGTGACACTATTAAACATATACGAATTCTCAGTGAAATTCTTTTGGGATGTCTGTTAGAAATATGGGAGTTCCGATGAAATGTCCGTCAGAAAAGCTTCTGACGAGCTATTGAAGCTTTTTCGACGGATTTCCCTCGAATATTTCTGTCGAAATTCACTTCTTTGTAGTAGTGTGACGACATTCTTTGTTTCAGATTATTTCAAAAAGACTGACATATTTTTATGTTTAAGAGTAATTTAACTTTAACCTTCTAATTTTATAGCCACATGAATAACACGACATGTTTAAGACCACATGTATGTTTCAAAAGTCTATTTCTTTCATAAATTTCGTGTCTGATTAAACACCTTCACATAAAACGAATCGGAGGAATCGTATTACATGTATTATTGCATAATATTATATATTGGGATATTGAAACCGAGGATTTATCGGAAACATCCTCTCTACCTGCACAAGGTAAAAATAAGGTTGGGTACATGCTATATATTCTCCCCAGACCGAGGGGCGTATATACCTTGTCTTATGCGGTATCACGGGACACCGCTTCGTTGAAATTTTTTACTAGTTTGTATTAAAAAAATAAAAATATTGGGGATATATATAGAAAATGACATCGCTTACAACTACAATAAATTATTTATTTATTCATTTCTTTAAATTGTGACATCACTTATGAAAAATTCAACGTACGTCACTGCCAGTCCCCACTTGTGGAACGATATCGGATATGTTATTTTGTTGCTGTTATTTATATATCGGGATATTTCTAGTGAAATTAATACATTTCAAGTCTTGTTTTCATCATATAGGCACCATCACCATCTCTCACTTGTTTGAGGTTGGATATTGAGAGTTCACACATAGGAGTGTGGCAAAAACGTGCTGGTCCTTCATCTGATGCAAAATGGGTGATGACAGTTGAACTTCAGGAAAAGAATAATGCCAATGCTGCTATTGAAGGACAATTAAATTCTTCCTCTTCTTCTAGTTCCAAGAATTGTGGAGCAATAGCTGAAGGTATAAGTATTAGAAGTGAAATGGATGAAGAAGAAAGAGTTGCATTGCAAATGATAGAAGAATTGCTTCACATAAATACTCCTTGCCCTACATTTGGTATTTAATAAGGGGAGAATTTGATCATTTTACATTATCTAAGGTTTATTTATCATGCATGTACTATGTGAAGGTGAGCCACGGAGAGCAACAGTGAAGGTATATTCGTCTGACCCATAGATCACGAATTCGAACCGTAAAACTAGTCGTGAACGCGAGATGCTTCATGTATCGGACTACCTTTTATGTGATGTTATATATATATATTAATTATTAGTTTCTAAGGGTTTGGGCAAGAAGTGCCCATGTAAGCAGCAGTAGTAGTAGTAATAATAAACGAACAAGAAACAAGTCAAGAAAGTTGTATGTCCTTGTGTAGACTAATTAAATCAACATTGTCATTTTCTGAATGAAGAAGTTGATAAATAAAATTTACTGAATTGATTGTATTTTCTAAAGCAAATCCACCCTTTTTCTGTATCCTGGTTTTTTCCTCGTCAAATTTGTTTCTGAGAAGCTGCAAGTAATATTTGTGTGTGTATGTGTGTATATATATAAACTTCTATGTTCGTTTCATTACGATATTTCTGAACAAGTTCCTGGATAACAAGCCTAAAGGTTTTCTTCTTGAAGATATTGATATTGATGATAGTGATAATATTGATGCTAGCGACAATCTTGATGCTAGTGACGACATCGATTGTGACCTTTATACGGAGATGGAACTGCTAACAAGGATGAATGGGCTAACTATGGATATGATGCCGGAAATAGACCGATTTTATATCACTCTTCAATTCGAATTAGCAAAAGCAATATCTACTTGCATAATATGGATTCCAAACATTCATGATCTGGATGTGAATGAGTCGAATGACTTAGCCCTCGATCTATTAGTGAATCATATATATATATATATATATATA